AAATTATATATAGAGGCATACAGAAAATATTTTGTTTTTAAGAATATAAGTTTAAATATTATTAATAAATTATAATATTTTTTACGTTAATTTATTAAAAATATTTATTTAATTTTATAAATATTATTGGTCCTTTTTTTTTTTTCTTACAATTAGCTTAAAAATTCGAAACCCCAATAATAAATTATATATAGAGGCATACAGAAAATATTTTGTTTTTCTGAGAAAAATAGTCTGTTCTTCATACGTTTCATTCCACAGTATCTAAAACTTAACAGAAATTAAGCCTCTCTTTTCTCTCTCTGTGCATCCATCTCTCTCAGAGTCACAACTCATAAACAAAAACCCTAATTTCCATTCCGAAGAAACACCCAACCCAACGCCGGTTTCTTCTCATTCTCATTCCCCAACTCTCTCCGCCGGTGACTCACTTTCAATCTCGGCGAAACGCATTGTTTGGAATATTGGTTGGTTATTGAAACGGTTACGGTTTTGGTAAACCGGCAGAAATCATCGTATTGGGGGTTAGGGTTTGTCGTAATTTGTTCCTGCGTCTGCCTTCCTTAGAGGAATTCGCTTGCTTTGTTGAACAAATTTTGTTGTTGTTGCGGTTCAAACCCTAGCACTTGGGATTATTACATGTTTTAGATATCTGTTTCTTCTAGGGTTTTGATCATTTTTTCCCAATTTTTCTGGCGCCCGGACTCTGATTTTGGTGTTCATTAGGGTTATGCCTGATTGAACTGGTATATGGGTGTTGAATATTTTGAGAGAATTCTGGGTATTCATTTGTTTTTGCATTAGTTCTGTTTTTTCTCTTATAGGGTTGATCCCCCTTTTGAGAGATGAGGGTCTTCTGAGAGTGAATTAGCATCTGTAAATCCATCTTTGATAGTAGATGGTGGGTTAGAGAGGTTTTGTGTTTATAATTAACACCACTACCTTGGCGTCTGTTCTCGCCATTGCCTCAATTTTTCTTGTTCTGGGTTCTTACTGCTTTAAAATCCTTGACCTTTGAACAATACCCTTTGATTTCACTGAATAACACATTATGTTATACTCATAAAACTACTGGTGAGTCTGTGACTTGTTTTGTGGGTGCCATTTGCGAAGGAGTATAAGTTATTGAGAGGAAAGTCAGGTAAGGGATAGGGTCAGAAGTCAGGACTCTTGTGTAGAAGGGATAAATTGTTTTCTTGGAGAGGTGGGAGAAGGTCAGAGAAGTGTTTTTCTTGTTACATCTGAACATGTTCAGTGTCCCTTATGGAAAGAAGTGAACCCACACTAGTTCCAGAATGGTTGAGAAGCACTGGCAGTGTTACCGGGGGTGGCAATTCAGCCCACCACTCTACATCATCTTCTTCACACACAGGTAGTTTCACTTTCCTTGCTTTTTGATAGCTATCTCTGTCTCATAATGTTTTTGTTTGGTTTTTTTGGCATACATCTGTCTTATACATGTATTGTTCTGGGAGTATATATGATGACTTTATTTTTTTTGTATATAGATGTTAATTTGCCCTCGCATCACCTCAGAAATAGAAACACTAGGAGCACTAGTGATTTTGATTCCCCTCGTTCAGCATTCTTGGATCGAACTTCTTCATCAAATTCACGGAGGAGTTCCAGTAATGGTTCTGCAAAGCATGCCTATGGTAGCTTTAGTCGGAATCACCGTGATAAGGACAGAGAAAGAGATAAAGAGAGAACAGGCTTTGGGGATCATTGGGACAATGATTCTTCTGACGCCTTAGCAAGCATCTTAACTAGTAGGGTTGAGAAAAACACATTGCGCCGTTCTCATTCTATGGTGTCAAGAAAGCATGGTGAACTCTTTCCCGGAAGAGTTACAGCTGACTCAAAAGACACAGGCAATGGCAATCATAGCAATGGCAATGGTCTGCTTTCTGGAAGTGCTATTGTTAGTAGCAGCATCCAGAAGTCAGCATTCGAGAAAGATTTTCCTACACTTGGAACTGAGGAAAAGCAAAGAGTTCCAGATATACCCAGAGTTTCCTCTCCTGGTTTGAGCTCAGCTGTTCAGAGCTTGCCTGTTAGTAGTTCATCATTGATTGGTGGGGAGAGATGGACCTCAGCTCTGGCTGAGGTCCCTACTCTGGTTGGAACTGGTAGTGCAGGCTCCTTGTCTGTTCTACAAACTGTCTCTGCTTCAGGTTCTGGGGTGCCAAGTCCAACGAATGCTCTTAATATGGCTGAAGCATTGGCACAAGCTCCATCACGTACCCGTACTGATCCACAGGTAACTGGTTCTGCTTTTAATACCATGCTTCTATTGGTTGTGTTATTTATGCATGTGATAACGAGACATTCCTACTATTTCTAGGTGTCTATCAAGACACAAAAACTTGAGGAGTTGGCTATTAAGCAATCAAGGCAATTAATACCAGTGACACCTTCAATGCCTAAGGGTTTGGTAAGGGAGTTGTCTTTGCTTTTTTGTAAGTCTGTTTCATAGCTGCACCCAATTTGTAGCTTGAATATCGTTAGATGAATGTGGAAAGTTTTTCTTTTTCTTGTATGGCATCTATAGATTTGGAGCTTGTGTCCTCAATATTATTAATGTAATCTGAGTTGTTACTCGCTCTATTTATTTTCCTATTTAATTGTTAGTCCTATGAATTACCCAGAGGCTTTTTTCTTATGCTTAGGATGTGAGATGGGTCAAAAGATATAACCTTGTATATATTATATAGCACAACCTAATCTCACTCTGTTGTGAATTGAGGAGTTACTGATCAAATTGTGGTTGAGGTAGACTGAGATGCAACCTTTTTATCTCTTTTCTTGATAGTACAATTTCCATTTGGCTTAGCTTACTGAAAATAATACATTTTAGGTGGTTGTAGAATAGTGTAATGCACAGAGTAGAATTTGCATGTATCCTTAATTCCTACACACTGCTTGTCTCTGATGAAACTCAAGTTAGAATGAATTAATAACGTGTGTTGGTTGTGCCCTGTTTCCCATGCAAAATAAGTAGTGTACTTATTCTTTTGGATTGAAGTTTTTGGTGCTTGCCAGTTAAAGTTCATTTTAAAGAGTCCTACTTGTTCTATACTTTTAGTAGTGTGAAAAGTCTCCACAGTCTATTTAGTAATAAAACAATGCTCACATACTGTTCCTATTTTATTGTATATTATTTCACTTCATAGTTGTCATCTAAAGACGTAGTTGTCCAATGCTTTTTAAATGAACCCATGCTCCCTCATGTTAAGTGTTGGAATACTCAAATATACCAAGCCTATTATCTATATATCAATTATTCCATTGCCAAATTGAACTCGTTTTTACCTCTCTTTCCTTCATTCCTATTCTGGTTTGCTTGTTTATGCAAACTCTTTTGTTATATTCTTAAGGACTTTACCATGTAAAGTTTTCTTATCTGGACGGTGATATTTTTTCCCCAGCTTAGTTACACTATGATTGAGTTGCAAGTCTTCTGAACATTTTCATGGTCTGCCAAATATCAAGATTGGTTAAAATTCTAGTATGCTATTTGTAGAATGTATAGAGATGTTGTTGTACATGTCTGTGACTTTGTGCAGCCTGTGTTCCTCAAACTTTCAGTAATGGTAAATCTGACATCATGATATTTTAAAATTTTTTTTTCAGGTTCTTAACTCTTCTGATAAATCAAAACCTAAGACAGCAGTCAGACCTGTTGAGATGAACATGGCTGTCAAGAGTGGGCAGCAGCAACCTCCTTCGTTGCATCATGGTAATCAATCTCAAGTTGGAAATATGAAGTCTGATGTTACGAAAGCGACTCATGGGAAGCTTTTGGTTCTCAAACAAGCAAGGGAAAATGGGATCTTGTCCCCTCAAAAGGATATTCCAAATCTGGCAAACAATGCCAACAGCCGAGTGGCAAATAACCAACTTTCTGCTTCACCATCTGTTCAATCTGCTCTGTTGCAGAGCTCAAACAGCTTAAAGCTCCGTACTGGGGAACGCAAGGTAGCTGGCTCAAATCTGTTACCTGGGTTTGCTGTGGAGAAGAGACCTTTGGCTCAAACCCAGAGCCGAAATGATTTCTTTAATCTCCTAAAGAAGAAGAATGGAACAAACACTTCTTCTGATCTCCCAGATGCAGGTCCAAATATTTCATCTCCCATTGCAGAGAAATCTGAAGTAACAAAGGAAGTAGTCAGTCCTTCTGCAACTCCTCATGCTTTTGAGAATGGTGCTGCAGCAACTAGCAATGGTATTACTCATCAAGAGGGTCACAGATTCTCTGATGATGAGGAGAAGGATACGAGCTATAGCACTCCTGTTCTTCCAGAGGAAGAGGCTGCCTTCCTTCGTTCTCTTGGATGGGATGGGAAATATTGTGAGGATGAAGGCCTAACGGAAGAGGAGATCAATGATTTTTATCAGGAGGTAACTACTACTTTTTGATGTACTAAATTCTTCCCCAAACTTTTTCTCCTTTTTGGCCTTTTTTTTATTGCAGTTAGACTTGTAATTTTGTTGTAGCTTTTGAACTTAGTTCAACTTGTCCTCTTTTGCAGTTGAAATTAAGGCCAACTACTCTTAAGCTCTGCCATGTCATGCAGTCAAAGCTGCCTGAAGCCTTTGCAACTAATTTGGATGGAGCTTCATCTGTTTTGAGTTCATCTGACTCCAAATCTGAAGCTTGACTTACCGTGCAGTCCAAAGATCCAATTTTTGATGGCAGTTGGATGGATAGCTTTTCTTTCTTTTTTCCTTTTTTCCTTTTTGAAAAGCTAATGAAGTGGGCACGGAAGAAGGTGGGTTTCGGTTGGAACAATGCATTTTGCAAATAGTGCAATAAGTCCTCCTGCCTGGCTAAGTGGCTATCCCTGGTGAATTCTTTAGGTTTGATTCTTGAAGGTAGTTAGGGGCTATGTTGTCTCTAGTGGAGGAGGCTGGAAAGTTGCATTGCATCTTTTGGGGAATTTCATCCTTTTCTTCCTTGAAGAGGTTTCAAATTTACCATTTTTTTTTTTTTTTGGTTATCTTTACGGGAAAGAAAAAAAAGGGAAATTAAGAAGTTTGATATTTAGCATTCAGATTTTATATCTCTATTTTTTTTTTTTTTTAATTCTTTCATTGAAAAATCAATCCCGAATACATGACAATGGAATATAAATTCCCATCTCGCCCGTAGCAAACGCTTATGAGACGCCCATTTACGACATTTAAACGTGTTTTAAATCTTTTGCCGGCTAGGGAAAGCATTGCTGCTTGAACCAGAACCAATGCAACTGCCATAAGCAGTGTTGTCTTCACCATTTTTCTTGGCTTTGGAAGCACAATTCAAGAACTAAACTCTAAAGCTAGCTTTGAATACTGAATCACTCTTGTGCTTTTGTGTTCATAAGCTCCAAAAGGGAGGCATGTGTAGGTGCGAAGTGTTATCGGTATTTAGGATATATGGAGAGAAAGACTAGTTATTTATGAAATAATTAAGACATCTAAATAAAATTTTAGGCATGTAATTTGGAAATGTTATGATACTCCACTGCTTTTTAGCCACTTCTTATAGACTATTCTCTACCATTACCCATTAAACCGTGATATTTTTTGAAGAAAAAGCATGAGCTAAATTTCAGACTGTTGAGAGACAATATCTATTGAGACGGATTTAAACCTTAAATGAGTTTTTAGCAGATTGTTACGAGTCCAAAATTTAATTTCTTTATGACTAATATTTTAAATTTTCATAACCCTAAATTAAATTTGAAATTAGTGATAAGCCTCTTGTTTTGCAGCTTAGACAAAAGTCATTAGATGGAAAAGAATCCCCAATATCAAGAGAGCCACTCCTAATGATTATGTTTGTGTAGTCTGGTTCCATTACTGAAAATGTAAAATCAATATGGCTAAGCTCTTATTTCCTTTGAACAAACAAGCCAAGGAAAAAAAACACACCTGCAACCAACAAGAGCTTGGTCTTTTTGGCGTGTGTTAATTAGGCGTCATTATTTGTAGAATCAATGATTTTAGGAAAAAGGTCAGGAATTCAAATATATGTGCTCAAGATTGTTGGAAGGATACAGACATTTACAATAAACTTAACTGCTTTCTGTCTCATCAATTTATGTATAAATGTTACAAGCGCGGATGACTCCCTCGAAATTAACTTCAAGTGCCCAACAGCAGACTTAATGACCAACTCAACTTGTTATTCAGAGTGCGAAGTCCAATAAATCAACCCACTGCAGCAAAGACAAACATAATAAAATCAGTGAGATGACTGTAGACATCCAAAACACACCATGATTTAAGAATTGATTTGACTGGGGAAGCATGCATGAGTTTGATATCCTTATTCAACATATAACAAGCACTGGAGAGAAAACTGGCAGCTAGGCTGCAAGCATTCCTAGGTTTAGCTGCTTTAGCATCTCTGCATAATTTTATAAAGAGGATGATAATTATAAGGTAACTATAGAATATCGTATCCATCAACCAAAGAGAATGTTGAATTTGAGAAAGGGCTTCTGAATTCCATTTTTGAAAGAAAATCTTGAAGAAAAACCCAACATGGATGAGGGTCATGCAAATGTCTTAATCATAAAATTGAACAAACGGAGAAAAATTTTACCTGATCAACACAAATACACACTGCAAAACACCTGCAGTTCCAGTCCAAACTGAAGGACCAGTTTTCACCAGCGAGTCTTGTATCAATAGGCCCACAGAAGCAGCCAGAGAGACGAAGGCTACAACATAAGCAAAGAAAAGCCAGAGCTTCAATCTGTAGCAATGAAGAAGAAAATGATCATTGATTAGTCTGAATAACAAAAACAAAGGGGAAATTTTATGATCTTAAACCTGTCTGTGCAAAAATTACGTAGAACAAATAAGAGATCAGATCAGCACATTTGAAACTCCCAACAATTTCCCAGATAGGTTTAGTGTCAACTTCAAGGTTTCCAGAGTATCATCAAATCAAAGAAGTTCACAGCAGAAGCAAAGAATACAAAAACTGAGACTCATGCTTTAACAACAATGCTATTTAAGGGTATAGACAAATTCCAACTTCCATCCTCTCATTTTTCCTTTTTTTCGTTCATCTATGATGTTTGTGAGAAAATCAATGTGTAAAAATAAACATGTCAACCACAATTTCAAGTTTCAACAGTCAATATAATAAACTAACATCAAGTATGAACAAAAATATAAACTACATTGGTCAGTAAACAGCAAAGGAAAAACAGCCACAATTTCTATAAATTCAGCTGCACTCATTCAGTAATTTCCAGCCTACCTCAGTTCTATACTTCTAGCTCCACCAACTGACAAGTAAATTTTTGTGATGAAAAAACTGATGTTCAAATCAACCCAACTAAATCTCACTAAAGGGCACAATCCTACTGCATACAGATAAAATCCTAAAAACACATCCGAGCCTATATATTCAACCAACTAAAAATTTCAGACCAAATTGATAATACTACAGCTGATTATTAAATCCCCTCTTCGACTCAAGAACAAAGATAAATATGAATAATTGTTTGATATTGTTAACCAGTGTCAAATTCTCGTAAACAATTTTCCAGGAAGTTCTTGCATTAGCTATACAATTGCCATAATCAAATAAAAAAGACGAAATCAATTAGAATTCAATCTCGAAAAAACGTCCATCAAATCGACAACATTTCAATGTAAAACAAATAATTGAGGGAAAAAGAAAATTGCTACCTCCATTCGCCTTCTTCATAGGGAGAGTAATCAATATCCTCTTTTCTCACACAATTGAACATCAAAGCCGCAATAGATGCAAAAATACCTAAAACATAAAATCCACCGAATACCAGTCACAATCAAAACCCTAGGAACAAAATTGATATACATATATAAATGAATAAAGAGGAACAGAAATGTTGCAGTTACCAGGGAGATAGTGGACGAAGGAGACTTTGACGGAGCTGCAGACAACGGCGTCGACCCAGAACCACCATCCAGCTCCGAACACCGCACCTGCGACGCCGGGACCAAAGATCGCCCACAGTTCCACCAAGTCCATCTGATTTTCCGTTTGCAACTATCAGATTGAAGCAATCAGTGCGACTCCAGCGTCCAGCCTACTGCTCTCTCTCTCCTCGCCTTGCCTCGGCCCTCTGCGTTTTTTCCAGTACCTTCCTACTCTTTCCGTAAATATTTTCTTTTTCCATTTTTTTGGAAAAATAAGGAATTACACGTAATCCCCTTGTGGTTTAAAACGTATGCACTTTAGTCCAAAAATAAACAAAATGATACAAATTAACCCATATGGTAATCCTCCGTTAGCCTTGGAGGGTTATTTCCGTTAAATACCATTTGACACTTTCTCTACTAGAAGTCTAGAACACAAGTCCGTTATAAAAGCAATTACTCTGCTATAAAATCACACACCAAAAAAAAAAAAAAAATTACAGAGAAAGATGGTAATGGAAAAACAAGAATAACTTTAAAATAAATCCCAATACAATGCATTGAATTAAAATTAACTAATTTAATGTTCTACGCTGCATTGCCAACATAATGGAAAAATGCAAAAAACTAATAAGAAAATTAATTTTTTTAAATGTACCAAAAGTGTACTGAAAAAAAGATTAGTTTCAATATGTGAAAAATTAATCCGAAGATAGTCTAATCATAAATGTAAAAAATAAAAATAAAAAGATGCAACAAACTAGCATAATATGTAGAGTTAGGGAAACTCTCTACGTTAGCATTATTTTTCCCTTCTTATTTTTTAAATAATAACCCAAGATATTCTTCTTATACTTCATAGCTTCAATGTAAGATCCACATCCAATGCGCTTGAACTCGAGCTGCCATTATCATGTTCGTTATCCCTCTTACGCTCCAACTGACTCAAAAGTGGCCTGGTGTGGTTGTTGGGAGGAGGCTCCTGCTGCACTTGTGATCTACGCTGTACTTGGTAACCAAAATGGGGTGCCAATGGATGGACAGACGGTTGGCCATTCCTAGCATACAATGGAGGTCGTGATAATGATGATGATGTTGCTGGAACGAGGACACCGTTAAAGGGTATGAAGGGGAAATGGTTTGGTTCCTGTGGCATGAAAAAGGAAGGATAAGGAGCATCCACGGGCGGCTGATGAGGATAGGGGTGAAGGCCAGGGCTGTTGATTTGCTCAGGAGAAAACAGAGGATTTTGGTGGTTAATATTTGAAGAGTTTGAAGAAATATTTGTGTTGGAGGAAAATAGACCCATGTCATGTTGTCTTCTCATCGTAGAAGCAGTCTCATTTCGTATTATGTGACCCTCAATGTGATGTAGAAGAGCTTGATTACTGGCGAAAACATGGTTGCATATTGTACATGCAAGTGGGTTGGGCTCATTAGGGAGAGGTCGACTCTGCCTTGCATGGCTACGTTGACCACGGTTCGTATTGCTCATATGAGTTCCCTATGAATGGGCTATGGACAAGGATCTTCAAGGGGAGGAAAATATAGGGAAAATCTATGAGTATAAGATTTTGCTCACTATACATTTTATAGGAGAAAGACTAGTTTACTAGCTACCATATTTAGAAGGTTATCACAAGATTTAATAGTATAATGCATATATTGTAATGTGTTATTCACGCGCCATCTTATCTTAAATTTAAAATTTGTTTAATGTAACTTCAACTTTTTATAAAAAGCGCTTTTTGGGTATAACTTTGTAAAAATGTTAAAAACATTACAAAATTTGTGTCCCACATTTTACTGGTAATGTCTTCCCAAAACTCATTATTACTACTTTATTATATATTGTTATAAAAATTTCTTTCACTCATTTTCATTTTTTATCTCCTTTTTATTTTGTCATGGAAATGATGACATAAAAGATTACAAAACGGACTTCCTCCGCTCTTCTTCTTCTTCTTCTTTTTTTTTTTCTTAATAATCAATGGGTCTAATCTTTTCCCTCTTTTTTGGCCACATCTATAGAGTATTTTCCTACCATTTTTTTCGTTGAACAAATCCAATTCATATGTTTTTTCTTTTCTTTTTTGATTTAGGCTATTAAGGTAGCTTAGATCAATTTTTATATATTTTAAAATTAATTTTTTAAAATAATTTAAAGATGCACCCTTACATCAAATTACTATTTTTAAAATAATTAATTTCTTACATGTTAAATTTTAAACTTAAATTTTAAACTTAATTTATAAGATAATACTTTTTTAAAACTTAAAAAACTAATAATAATTGAGAATGCAAGTAGTATTCTATCCCTTTACAAAGTAATGTCTTCACAATAACAACACAAGATAATTAAAATAGTACCTATAAGCCAACTACACATGCCTAAAAAAACTACACAAACATAACAACATGTCACAGAAAGAAATTCAGCTTCTTAGACTTAGGAAGATATCCTTGGGTAGAAGCAAACCTACTTTTAAGAGAGGTTAATTACAAGCCCTACCATTTTGTCAAAAATACTTTAATAGATTTAAAGTTTTATAATTATAGGTCTTATTCATTAAAATAAAAATAATACATAAAGCCTTTTAGTTTTAAGCCCAATTAGTTAAAAAATACAATAGATCATATCCAGTAATAGATTCTGGTTCGACCCCTATCCCTAGTGTACTTGAACCATAGAAGCGTTTGAGAAATCTAGCCAAACATGCTCTTTAATCCAATGAAAATACCTTAATTTGATAAATTCCATGACCTTTGCTTGAGGGTCCTCCTCTTCCTTGAATAGGTTTTTGTTCCTCCATAGCTAAAGAGATCAAACGGCAAAGCCTATAGTAAAACAAGACTTATTAGTTACTAATAAATTGAATTTTGAGGTTTTTTTAAGCATACGATAATACCATCTAAATATAACATATCCCTTCCATGAGTATAGACAAAGATTGATTAAATAAACAAATGAAAAAAGTCTACCATAACTGTTGCTTGTAGCATTATATTTGTTAAACAGGATAGCATGTGTGTTATTTTACCTTATAAAAATACTAATGATAATGC